ATAACATTATAAAACAACCGTACACGTGTGCTGCGCAGAAATACTTAAAACGTAATATTGTTAACCATTTATCAGTAACTAAATTTTTTTAGACGCCTTACGTTTCYYTTTTAGACTATATAGATACATATGAGAATACTTTTTATTTTATTTTAGYTATRAATTCGTTATCCGTTAATCGTTTACAATTTTGAATTAATAATATACAAAATATGCATTCCGACAATATACGTGTTGTTCGTCATTTATATTACATTTGCGTAATTACATAAGGCGTTCAAAACACTATATTATCCCATAGTATATTGAGGATCTATAGTAACTAATATGTGAACATGGTATAATGTAATATGTTAAATATAACCGTATTCAGATATTATATTAAATATACATATTATTATTACATTACATTTTTTTTTTTTATTGTCTGCAATATAAACATTTCTCGTCCGCTGTTTTTATCGTATATAACGGTATGCATAAATTGCAAAAATGTACATATTTAAATTTCACAGTTTGTGATGGATATTGTTCACGATTATATTATTGTAGGCCGCGAGTTGTCGCGCTGTCGAGTGTTAGTCTCAGAGTGAAATCGCGAAACAACGTTTTTTTTTCGAGAAGAAAAATACGCTTACCTTTATTGTATGCACACAACCAGACGACTCATTATTATTATTATAWGTGCTACAACGAATATAATATCAGGGGTGGCCAACGTGGGATTTGAGTACGCACACATGTATGATGGTTAAAAAAAGGTTTGTACAATTATTTTATAAATGTAATAAAAACAGTACTTATATGGCTACGTAGTACATATCCTATTATATGGTACTATACACATGTTATGCGCTTATAATATAATAATTGAATGGAAATAAAATTATATTAATATCGAGCACATTAAGTTTATTAGGTTAGGTTTTTTTTCTACAGCCTGACCAGTGATCACCCGGTRGGGGAGGGGGGGGCGAGCACTTAAAAGTTTTGTAAATGTCACTGGGCCGTCCGAAAACGAAATAAAATCTAATAAGATCCATTGATGTAGCCAGGATTTCTAAAATGGGACGGTCAATAAAAATATYTCATAAAAATCAGTTTGTATTGTTTGCACTAGGGATAACTTTAATACTTATTTTATGACCAACCATATAATATTAAATATTTAAATAGATACATCATACATCATCCAAACATCCATTCGTTTTMAACATGTGGCTAAAATATRGCCGATATTGGGCGGATGTCCGCTTTGATCTTCCACTGCTAACATCATATAAGATCTGTCTATCTGTACTCTTTTCATTATTCGCCTTTTTGACTAACCTCGCAAATAAGTCATGCTGTATATAGGCCAACCCCTGATAAGACAGTAATAATAAATAAGACCTTCCCTGACAGGGTTTTCTCTGGCTTCTCGGGATCGTCGTCCGCTAGAGAAACGCGCAGTGGCCTTCGCCGCCGCCGCGTCGCTCGGTCGGTGGTCGGTCATCGGCGGCGGCTGTCTACKTCGCGGTCGCCGCGGAGGAGAGCAACCGCAGCTGCGTGCGTCGAACGAAACGCGTCGCGTGTGTCGGCGGCGGTGGCACATCAGTCGCGTTTCGATCGGCAACCTCGTCGCACTGTTCCGCCGCCGCAGTCGTAGCGCACAATCTTAACAATAATAATAATATCACAACAACAACAACAACAACAACAATACTATTGACGTGATAATAATAATAATACAATTCACGTCAAACGTTTCCCTGTCTCGCTGGAAAATCGAATGCCGTGTCAACGWTCGGTTCAATCATAATAATATTATTATCTATYGCCATGGCCCGGCCGAGTTGTGTTGCAGTGCGTCGTGCGACGGTCGCAACGACTTCRCGGCCAACTGACGCGTCGCAATAATAACGACGACAACGACAACCGACGACGTCGTCGACAATCCATAGTTACGAAAATATTAYTAAACTATACTTTTAAATCGACGACAGTGACGTACCATCGACGCCGGACGACGGACAGCTGACGCTACGAGTTTTATGCGCGCCGCAGCCAGACTACGACTCGCCACCGACGCCAGAACGCAGACGCAGCGACACCGTCGCCGCCGACGCCGTCGTCGCATCTTCCTCGACCCGGAACCGTTGGCCGCACGCGCGCGCCATGTACGTGTCGCTGTGCAGGGGAATCCCGGAGAGTTCGTTCAGGTACGACCGACGGCCGCCGCGCGACACGTTTAAATGCACTTWTTGCKGGCGCATTCAGATCAGTCGTCGAGGGGACGCCGTGCCCACGTGGTCGCGGTGTTGTCTCCGTCACACGGATAGCTAATTTTTTGTTGGACTTATTGTGTCGGTCGTCACGGCTAATAAAATTAGAGCTAATTTGTCGCGTTGATAACACTATCTCGAGACACTCGACGGTAAGAACGTGTAATATTAATACAATTAGGTATTATGTGATATTCTCTTGAGCACCTTGGCCTCTGTCCATGTATACCATAATATTTTTTATTTTAAACCGATTGATGAACGTTTCTAATTTAAACATTTTACTTTAAGTATTAAAATATAAATTAGATCTTACGAGGTGCCCTAGATAATGTCCTTGTCTTCGAGTTACTGATCATTGATAATGTCGGTCGATTCGCTCTAATATTAAACGCCTACACGACGACACGATATCGGTTCAGAGTTTAGACCGTGAAAATTTACTACGTTTGTATAACGGATGTAACACGTGCGGGTTCGGCGTCCTCTTAAAATTCAGTTTTCGTACAAAAGAACATTGTACCCGAACACTGTTTGATTTACACTGTTCCGAACAAAATATGTTATTGTTTTAATAATTTCACAACAATAATATGACGTATCGTTACTATCGTTGGATGTTCCGAACATTATTGTCTGTCGTGGACTATATTTTTCGTCGGGGGGCCAATTCCAACGAAACGCGTTCAACAATATTTGTTTGGGATGTAACTATATAAGTATAGGAAAATAATATTGCTCTGAGCATAGTTCAATTTGTTTGTTTGTACGGAAACGAGTCTGTATAATACTAGGAGGGGTGCTTAGGTGGGTCGGTGGGGAAGAGGGCATTGAATGAAACTGTACGTAAAAAACGATATAAACGTCGTAATAATAATGTAATGTAGTGTTATATATATAGTTATTTATATAATAATAGTAATAACGGATTCGAGTCTACACAAATCGAGTTTGACAATTATTTCAAACAATAGAAATATGTTCACTCAAGTATTGTAACCACAGATTTTCACATAGAATATTGTATGGAAGCCAAGTGTCCAGAAAAAAAAAATCAGACCGTGTAACATCATAGTTCATAATATTATTATAAAACAACCGCCGGACACAGTCTGTCGGATTTATTTTCACCACTCGACGTAATATGCCAGCTTACACTCAAAAATTTGTGATTTATTAATCGTATTATGTCATAAATATTATTGATAGGTACTTCTTATTTAGAGTCTGCACGTGCGCGACGACGACGAACTCACTGATGCGATATAGTAGCTTATATGCGGACTGACTTGAATGGTGTTTCTATTTAAACAGTACAATTGTGATGATATATAATTTAAAATATAATATAATGACGAAGGGCGGGGATGAGTCGTTGTGCACGCACATAGTGAATGGGAATGATGGGGTGTGAGAGAGTGAGAAGAGAAGAAGAGAAGAAAACAAATTCCAATTGGCTAGCGAACCCCTAAAACTGTACGTAGTTGGTTAGCTATAAACTATAATATATAAAATATATGTTGYATTATGGATGACAACGATGACGACGGCTCTGGGGTTTCGTCGGAATTGATAATATAATAATAATAATAATATAACATAATATTGTAATAGTTATTGCGGCGTACGCGCGATGTGTGATTGTATAAAACACTGTTAGTTTTTGGCGCCAACAATAAAATGCGGTTTTCACTCCTATACAATATGAAAAAAGATTTCACCAGTAAGAAAGCAGTGAGGGCCGAGGGGCAGCTGCAGGAGTCGCGTGTTTTCGTGTTCACGTTTATACGCCGTAAGAAACCACACCGTGCAGATGCCAGAAAAAAATAACAACAACAACAACACCACCAATTTCGATAGGTCGGAAAGATGGAGACAGAAACTATATTATTATTATTATTATTATTATTATTATGTACGTGCATAATAGAGGTGTGCTCGTGACGTCACTCCCACGTGGAGTTGCATACTGCATTRTTGTTAGTCGTACACATAATATCGTGCGCGTTACAGTTGCACCATGATGCGATGACATACAGAGCGATTCAAGAAGCACACTCGTTTATTCAATTTCTGATATATGAAATTTTTAAATATACGAAAAGACAATATGATTTTCAAATAGGTGCTTCGATTTTTTATACAATAATATTGAGATGAAACGTCCAGGAATGATAGTATACACTGTTTTAATCGTGAACCATTCCTTTTGTCTTTGAATAATTTCTAAGAAGATTATTATTTTTTAAATTTTAATGCATTTAAATCAAAATTTGGAGTTCTAGTTTTGATATCATTAAACCTTACGTGAGCACAAGGCTTATAATACATAAAATACAAAAAAAWTAATATTTTACTAAAGTATTTAGTAGTAATTTATTATACTTAAAGTTTAAACCACTTTTACTTCTTGAGTTAATAAAATTTCAAACTAGTAGATTATTAKCTATAAGTTATTACGTCATATTACAGCTACTTGTTCTATTTCCCCYAATAAATATTCTGCTTTGAAGTATGAAATTAAAAATGCATCGTTCAAAAATGTAAAAACTTAACAACAGTGRTCATACTTATCAAACAATTTTCAAAATAGTAAAACATTTAATCTATTGTTACTAAATAGTTGCTTTGTAATGATATCTTACGATTGAATAAAAGAAAAAAATGTTTAGTAAAACCGTTAATACTTTTCGYCGTACTTTAGTTACTTACCTATATTATGAATGTTAACTGTTAAAATAATTACCCTATATGGCTATATTGTAATATTTTTAATACATCTAGTTACAATTGTATAACTATTCTTGGTGACTTGGCATTTATTTGTAAAATATTATTATAATATTATTATGTTTCATCATTCGTAATGTCGTAATGTGTGTATAATATTATTGTGCGTGTACTACACCTGGTGACGAGCATCCAACATACTATAGTGTGATATTAGGGCATCAACCTGTGTGACTTACAATWGTCAATAATGTTTATAATTATAGCATATTATTATAATCATGTTATTGGTCGGATTTTCTTGGTCTTTGAACGATGAAAATTATATAGGTATGTTGAAATAGATAGACAACAGTTATTCTGATATTATGTTATTTTTTCTSGTAGGAATCCACGCTATACGCTATATTATAATAGTGCGTATTAGAATTTAAAAGAGAAAGTACACGCTGCAGTCGAATATATTTTTATCTGTTGGGACATTTTTATACATAAATAATTGATATTAGTATCTACCTACAGTTAAATAATTATTGCACATTCCATGCTAACTATTATTTACCGTAAAAACGATATAGCGAAACGCGTGTTTGTACTTTAAATTGTAATAGTACTCAAATCATTAAAAAAACATCRCACGCATACTTTTTTCTTTGTCTTACATACGTACGACGTAGCAAATTTTCATTCACTAATTTGAAATTTCAATAGTGTATACGTACTGCTAGTTTTGATATTATTATAGAATGAAGAGTGAATCGACTTATTATAAAATTGAAATTAAGATTATTGTTTGGGGTCTCGAGTATGCTTTTAGTATTATTATTATTATTATTTTTTTTTTATTTTATTTATTTATTAATTAAAGGCTTCAAATACAAATGTTTATTAGCCTACAATGGTTTACATGTTTAATTTATTGTATTATTATTATATTTGAGTAAATTATCATCATTTTAAAATATACAGTTTCAAAAAGTTCATAACTTCTTTAAAAATAAAATCAATAAAAGATAATAATCTTACGTTTAAATTTTCGAATATGTCAATTCACTACGGTATATTATCAAAACTAACGGCACACTATATTGAAACAAGTGACCGAACATTTGCCATGTCAAGCGTATGTAAGACGAATACGACACATGCGGAGCGACGTCTCCTTAATCATTAGCCATAATAAAATACTCCAAAAACGCGTGCATGATTTTTACTTCTGTAAATTATATAATAATTTGTCTTGTGTCATATCTCCCGGGGAGCTTATAAACCAGGGCTGAGTAAAACATTATTGAGGTAATTATAGTTATAAATTAAATTA